TTTATTTCTAACAATCTTGATCTTTTGTCCCTTCAAATAATGTCCTAGAACTTGATTTCTTTTCATTTTTTCTTTGCCCCTTCTCACAAAATTCTTCAAAGCTTTAGTAAGTCTCTTTTGTAAATCCAATACAGGAAAATTATCCAGATCACTCTCTTGGTTTGTTATTTGTATATCTCTTTTAATTATTAAGACATCAGCTGATTTCTTTTGTATGTCCAGTATAACATCTTTTTCCACGTCATTCTTGTAGCCTGTTATTTTTAAATCCACTTTCAAATTAGTCTCAATCTTGTCAAGTAAAATTTGTTCCTGTTCCATAACGTATTTTAAACATAGTCTATTATAGAGGCAGGTGCTCTTAAAATTAACTTCTGGGCCCATTTTCAAAAATATCCTTCAATATGTCAAATGTTAAAATATTTTGCTTCATTCTGTATTGTAAGTTGAGTTTGAGTGTTCTCCTTTAATTATAATCTTTAGTTCCTTCTAGTTCCCTCTAGTGTCCAATTTTTAAAGTCTTATTTTTTTTTTAAGAATTTAAAACAAAAGTATTTTCCCATAGGAAGGATTCTTTATAATTAATTTCAAAATCTTATTTCAAATTTATCTGGACCGTTAGTCCATTTGTAACTTTCTAAAATCAAAGTTTTAACCCTTTTTTGCTGTTTATTCCCCCTCTCAATGTTTTAAGTCCTTAAACTTGTATTTAAAACTTCTTTCGCTAAGAATTGAAGGAAACTCACCCAGTGCTGTCTAACTTGTCAATTCAAAGGTTCCTAATAGCTGAAAAGCAGTTAACAAGCAATTTCCAAAAGTGATTAGAAAAGGAAGTATGCGAACCCAATGTCCTTTCAAAGGTGCCGAGCACAGTTTGAGCAAGATGGCTATTCCCTTGTCTCCCAGAGCTCTAAACCTGCCAGAGACTGTTGTCTTGTGGTCTCCTCATGAGGAGGAGCTATATGGAGCAGTTGTGGGTGATATCAAGTCCTTTCCTTGTCCAGAGAGGAATTATAAAGAGCCGGTCTACTCGCTGGCTCTTCATTCCACCGCAGTTGTTGGCTCCGCTTTTCACAGAGTCGTCTTTAGTGTGCCATTTCTTCCCTGGAAGTCAAACATGGCCACAACTTCTGACTCAACTTCCCCACTAACTTTGCTTGTGGGAAGCCGGCAGGGAAGGTCACAAATTGCGATCACATGACTGTGGGATACTGTGTCGGCTGTAAGTACAAGGTCAGTACTGTCCAGCGCCATCATAAATTCAAATGGTCACTGAACAAGTGGTCGTTAAACAAGGACCACATGTAGTCACTAATTTAGTTAGATATAGGAGACCTGGAATGCAATTTTATATAGGGTTATTTAGGAGAAGAGTTCATTAATTCCCATTTAATGCACAGAACCATGTAAATCCTACATGAGTCATATATTTTGGTATTCGATTCATTCAATTGATTTTTTAAAAATAATTTGCAAAAAGAATGAAAACCTGCAATTTTTTTTTACTAATACAATTTGTCACATAAACTTCCCTAAAATACATTTTGTAAATAAATTATCCCAATTTGTACACATTTTTCTATAATATACTGCATTCATCCATACTTCTATATACTCTTTTTCATAAATAGTTCACAGATATAGAGGACCATATGTATGACTGTCATGTATGGATGACAATATTGGTGAATCATGTCATTCTGCTCTAAAAAAAACACTTTCTCTTATATCTTTCTTTCAACTAGTAGACTAACTTAGTTCTAACAATTGGATTATCAGGAGTTCCCAAAATGGGAAAAAATGATATATTACTTTATGATTTTCATATTTTTAAACCCAGATGAATGTCATATTTTGCTTAAATCTTTTAAAACAGTATTTTTATGTTTTTAACTTAAAACTACAACAATAAAACCTTTTTTTCCAAAACAAGTGAATACAGTTCAGTCAATTCAAGCCAACTATATATAAGAAACTAAATAACACTAGCTAATAAACTAAGGTTAAAAAATAAATAAATAAAAACTGGAAAAAGAAAAAGAAAACAAACAATAACATTTTATATATTTTTCTATAACTGATTAATAATACACTTTAAGCAAGTTACTGAAGCATAATTTTTAAACAACTTGAACCCTGATCACATGAAATCATACTGTGCAATCCTTGCTATTGATAAAGAGCAAATTCAAAGGCTGAGTGTTAATACATTTCATTATGCCAATTCTTTGAGTTCAGTATGTACATGTCTTTCCAAGAATTCATTATCACCTTTCTTTGCTACAGTTTGATATATCCCAAACCCTTTCTAAATGGCCAAGTTCCAAATTTTGTAAATATAATTTAAGAACATTATCAACACATTAACATCTTCAAATTTTAACTTCCTCCCAAGGATCTGATTCACCATAGTAATATATCTAACTAATGACCTACCAATGACTAAAGCATATGGTGAAATGTTACTTGAAATGTATTACATCTGCAACATAAAAAAGACAATAGCCAACTTTTTCATCCAGAATTGAAAATAATTGTTTTGTTTAATTAACTAATTTTTAGGTAATAAGAAACATAATTATAATTTCTTAAAATCTGATATCATTGGTTTTATATGAAGGTTATTCCAATACTTTATTCCAAATTTCTTATATTATCCACATTTAATTTTGTATAATAAATGTAATTGTTGATAATATTGGATAGCTGGTTTACTCTCTATGAAAACTTTCTCCAATACATTTAAAACTACCAGAGCTTCAGAGGCTGCTAAAGCATATGACCGGAACAAGGAACATAACACAAACTGTAGTTTAACTGTATATATTAGCATTCAGCTGTTTTTGGTAAGTTATATGCTTTTTGCAATCTTTCAAAGTTTTTCAAGTATCATTAATTATCTGATTAAAAATAACTATCCCATTTTCACCCATGTTTTCCAAAAAATATTTTTTCTGCTATTATAAAGTCTGCCATTTTTAAAATCAGGTGCTCATGAAAACTATAGTCAAATTTAAATTTCTTATCCAGTAATGTCCAAATATTCAACTCTAATAGGGACCAAGTACTTACCAGGATTTTAAGGGTGCCAAATAATAATTCTTCTTTTGGGCCTAGTATGCATTCAATTCATTTTCATTCAATACATTACTAAATTAACAAATAGGCCCAATTTTATAATAATGAAAATAAGAAAATAAGTCTCTATTATCATATGAAATCTGAAGCTTTAAAAAGATATCCTTAGGGTTTGACCACTTCATAAGAAATAAACCATTAACATAAATTTGTTTAAAATACTTGAGTGAAATCAACATAACCAAGGCTGCTAGTGTATGTATTCAGCTTGAAGCCTTATTCATTTTCACTAAATTTATTCTTCCCCACAGACTCATAGGTATTTTCATTCACCTCTTAATTATTGGATACATCATCCCTGTCCACCAAACTGTTTCTTCAATGGTGCAGAATAGAGGAGGATCACCTGGAGGGTCACCTACTTGTCCTATAGAGTCCTATTCTGCTCTTAATATATACATAAAAGGTTTAAAGCTGGAATAGCCAAAGGCTACTCCCTGTCCATGCTAATTACCCACAGTGTTGTTTCTAGTGATTTTGGAAAGTTCTGGTCCTTTTGATATAGAGATATGGATACAGACTATGTAGATTGTTGATTTTTTGTCCTGCGTGTTTGCTCTGATCTTAATATAGGGATTGACTAAACTGGACATTATCCGCAGTAATTTTCCAATATTACTATTCTCATTTATGCATTTTATACAGCTTGAAATACCCATGTTGACTTTAATAAGAGATTTGCCTTGGAATGATTACTTCCAAATATTTAACAGAATCTGAAAAATAAACAAATTCTATTTTTTACTTATATTTATAGATCTTATATCAACTGGAAAAATACTAGATTTGTTCCAATGTACTGTATATCTACAATACTTATCTTATTATTGTACCATTTCGATAAATATGGGTGAAGAATTTTGATCATCATTAAAAAGGCCCAAGAGATCATTGCCATAGAGCAATAACATGTTCTACCGGAAAACACTGGATGTCATGTGATTGTATCATTTGCTTCTCTAATATATCTAATATATATATCAATGTCTGGATAGCCATGTCTGGCGTTTGCAGGCCAGATATGGAGCCTCTATAATTAAGACTCTACAAACTTAAAAAATGTTTTAGAAAAAATTATTTGGACCTAGCACATGCACAGCATCTCTTCGCTCCTTGTTAAAGTAGTCCAGTTTTTTTTGGGGGGGGGGTGGTTTGGCTTCTGATCAGCCTGAAAATAATGCCACTGATTTAAGGAATCTACCCATTCAAGTTAATGTGACTTTTGAGGTAGTGGCACCTTTTTTTCAGGGTCACGCAAAAGCCTGAAAAAGTTGGGCTGTTTTTGTGAATAGCAGAGTCACACTTTGCTTGTGCTCATGCAAAGTTTGAAGTTCTTTTGAATCCGTTTTGAAACACACACAGCTCTACAACCAGTCTATACCAGTATAGTGAAAAGTCTTCCGCTTGGTGACACCATCTCTGAAAGTCAAGAATTAAACTTAGCTGGAGCAAGACATTGATTATTTCAGGCAGCTTTGAAATCTTGACTATATTGCAAAGAGATTTTTGCTTCAATTGCTTCATTATAAAAAGCCCTTTAAATAAAATGAAAAATAAAGGTCAAAGAGAGCACATTACTGGAAAAAGCAAAGGTTAGAAATGAAAATCTAGAAAAGAATTATTGAATTTGCACCCAGGTAATATGAGCTAATATTAAGTTTTGAGAATGAAAAATGTTCAACTTCAGAATAATGATACATACTAGAATATAATAACCTCACCATTAAATGAACTTACTGAAATCTGGGATTTATTCTGTTGTATATTATTTTGGGGTTTGCTCCATTGTCATGCAAAACAAAAACAAAAGTAAATGCTTCAACATCTTTGGCTACTGCTAGCATTTAAATAAGATGACTTACTCCTTCATATGTCTCAGCTTGCTTGTCGCCATGGTATTGTTGAGAGCTTTCAATCCCACAGGTCCCAATGGAGTCACTTCAGTGAAACTTCCAGTTCCTACAAATTAATGCACAATCTAATTCAGCTCGCTGTTATAGGCATTCTGCAGATCCAAAACATTATGCAAGGACAAACAAAAAGTAAGCAGCAATTCACCTTTGTCATCTGGAAATGCTGTATTAATGAAAGGTAATTAGGTTATTAAATGCACATTAAGACAACTTGGTTTAACAAGTCTATGAAACACAACAATTATTTTGAGTGGGACGGTATATCCCCAAACAGCAACGTTTTATAAAAGAGGCTTCTGTGCCTCTCCAACAAATACATAAATAAATCAATTTGTATACACACCATTTCCTTCAGCAGATATTTATGGAAACAAGTTGTTGTTGTCATTGTTGTTATTACCACTGCTACTCTCTTTTCTTTCAACAAATAACACAGTCTTTACACTGGGTATATTCTGATTATTCTAACCAAGAGCCTAGGAATCATGGAGGTATTGTCATAGTATGTAGGAAGTTCCAAGCAAGATGTTTTTTGTCAATTATTACTCAGTAGTAGGAATAGACTGCATGCAACGGATGACACAATTTGCCAGAGCCGTATGTCAGATAGTGGGCAGTGATATTATACTACTTGATATTTGTAAAGTACTGGGCATCTAAATTACAAAAGCTTCAATCCTATGTCTCATGGGCCAAAGGACTCCTTAAATTTCTTTTATACTCCTGAACATCTGTCAGCAATAGCTTCGTTTGTACCAGTAGACCATATGAAGCTGATGAACCATGCTTAACTTAATAAGGTACTGTATTTATCTGAAAAGATAAGCCCCAATTTAAGATGATTCCCCCTGTCCCAAAAGTGATACCCCCCCAAACAACACCAATAAAACAAAACATTATCATAGTCTCAACAAACCTTCCCAGGCTAATTATCTGGGAGGAGGGAAGGGACTTCCCTTGGATAAGTACACCATTTCATACTATCCAAGTAATCCCATGCTGCTGCTATGTGGCAATCATAGGACAGTCATGTTTCTAAAGGACATACTTGTGCCTTAAGTTATAATCAACGTAGGAATAGAAGAAAAATTAATTGCACTAGATCTACCATGCCTAGGGTGCAGAAATCCAAACAACCACTAGATGGGACCAAGGAGATACAGAAAACTCTAACCCTGGTGGTCATCTAGATTTTTGCAGCCTACATCTGGTAGCGCTTAATTGTGTATCTAATCAGACTTTATTAAGAATATTTAATCGTGCTTATGAAATAAGCTCATAGTTGCTCTGGCCCCAACTCTACACAGGCAGTAGTTGATGATTTGACAGAAGTAACATTTTGTGACGTTACTTGAGATATGTTTTGTAGACTCTGAGGAAGTAGATAGGACATTCTATAGCATGAACTCATCCATTTGTGGGCTAGGTCCATGGCACTCCAAGCTCCTTAAAGAAGCCAAGGGTAATATGAGTGATTCAATTTGGGAAGTGATAAAGTGACCGGATAATGTCTGCCTACCATCCTTAAAAGAGGTGAAGGATTGCCCTCTCCCGTAAAGGCCATCTTTTGATCCAACTGTATTGAACAACTACCATCCAGTTTCCAATTTCAGCAGCAATCCCGGGTACTGGGGAGGAGGCTGCAAGTGGGATGCCAGTTATCTACCTCCACTCTAAGAAGGCTTTTAAAAGTTAAACCATGATGCAAAATTAACCTTATGTTACTTGAGCTAAAAAGAGCTCCCAAAGGACTAATTATTACTTCTAGACCAGATCTTTGTCCTTCTATCATTAAAATATCCACAATTTTTAATATGAGTCATCTTTCTTGGTTTTTCTGGGAAGTTGGGCTAAATAACATATGTTGTTTTGCCCTTCATGTTGATGTTTACCTTTAAAAAATCTTGTTCAGAAAGATACAACAATATCTCCTTCTCTGGTAAGGCATGACCTTAAACATGGTGTTTTGTCAAAGGAAGGTTTTTAGATGACAGTGGACAGATTATGAAGCTAAATGGCAAAAGCCAGTTTATTCGATTTGATTTTAAAACATTTGATTTTCATAGTTTCAATGTTAATTTAATTAAACTGAATGCAATTAAAATATATGTAGTACTACTGCCTCATGGAAGGTAGCTGAGATAGTGCTTTGAACTGTGAGGATTGTAGATATTCTGAAAATCTAAAATCTAGCTAGCTAGCATTGTTGACTATGCTGTGGAAGATGATGGACTTCAAAGTGAAATTACCTAGAAGAGATTTTTATATGGCTAAGATTATTCATTCCCCATGACATAAATCCTACCTCACTAGCATCCATGTATACAGACATGGAAGAGAAAGTGACAGAAAAAGAAGAGTGTACAATAGTAGGAAATATATTAAAGTGGCCTCATTGTTTCAAATGCTACAAGATAGGGTTCTTAGGAAGCATTCACAAATTGCATGTTCTGTACTACTTTCTTGATATAACTCAGGGGTATAGTTCATATAATTACTCCCCACATATTTAGGAACTTTCCCCATCTGTCACATTAAAAACTATATTTTGGCGGCAGCTTCTGGAGAAGCAAAGGAAGCTGTATCCAAAGTTTTCATTTTTGACTTGTAGCCCTGGACCTTAAGTTGCATTCCATTGTCCAAAAAATGGGAAATCACAAGAAATATAGAATAATAATTAATCCCAGCTACATAAAAGCAGAACTGCCAATCCCATTTTCTTATAAATTAAAAGGATGCCTATTAACATTTGAGATCCTTTTGGAAAGGCTTCATGGTCCATACCCAAGGCTTTGGGAGACTAGAGTTGTATATTCCCATGATAAATGTTTTATATCCACATGATGCTACTGCATTGGTGGTATATTAAAGCTGCATTTAAAGCAAGTCTTCCCTAAACGATGCTCCATAAATGTTCTGGGATTACAATTCCCATAAGTGCCAGTCAGAATGATCCAAAATATATATACATCCCAATCCATCTGGACAGCACCACATTGGATAAGGCTGTTTTCTGGCCCTACCAGAAATTAGAAGTGTGAACTTTTCCTCTTTGAAGAAAATCCCTGCATAATAGTTAACAATTCAAAAGCCATTTCATTGATTTAAAGGGAGAGTACAAATCTATCTGTCTGATTAGCATAGATTTCTCCTTAAAGGTTGTGTGGGAAACAATGACATTTTCCTCTCCATCTTCAATGTTTCATCAGCAAGTTGAATGCCAAAAATAATGTTCACTAATATTTTCCAACTGACTTATGTAAATGCATACTTAAATTTACATTCACTAAACATACATGACAATAAAAATGATACCCATTACAGATTGCCTACATGTCTGGATGTAGAATGACTTTTGAAACCATTTGAATAATAAACTATAGTACGGATTTGATGCAATTTATATCTAATGGTTCCACAACTTGAGAGAGAAGACAAAGCACTATTATTTGGCCATTCTTTATAACTAAATGGTTTTATACCGCAATTTGATATCAGCCAATATTTCATGAATATTAACATTTACAGTATTAATGTTAATGAACTGAAAGAACTTGTAGCACATTACCAAACACAGTCTGTGAGCACTATTCAGATCTCTCAGGCATCAAATAAAACATTATTTTCAGTTAAAGAGCTTTCTTGAAATTTTTTAACTTAATTCAATTATTATTTATAACTGGAGAGAGGGTTTATATGAATAGAAATGGGTGAGTGTTTAATACTAGAAACTATTTAGGCCAACTTTAGCACCATAACAATGTAGGACTTAAATTCTCAAACTATAAATTTAACATGTCTTATGCCTCATAAGTATACAAGCTGCTGGGGTGTACTAAATTTGTACTAATTAGGAATATAATATTATAAAAGTAAGATATCAACTTAGTGACTTGGTTGGAGTCTTAGCTGGAGTTGACGGGATCTCAAAAACAGAGAGGTGAGAAATTTACTAAACCAAAGATCTATGAATCAGCATATGGAAAGGTGGAAGGAAGGATGGGAAGGTGGAGAGACGTCTAATGAATGCTGCTAGAGTAACCTAGATTTGATTTCCTTTTCTTTCATCTTTCATCTTTAATTTCTTTGCTCACTACTTCTTACCTTTTTCCTGCACTTTGCAAAATACTAATTGCCTTGAAATAGAGTAGTGTAATGGGTATGAGGGTAGATCTACATAGAAATTATTGGTGTGTCTGAGGGATAATATAGGATAATGTGATTTTTCTTCTCTGAAAGGTAGAAGATCTCATAGAAATGAAAAGGAATTATTGCCTACTTGGAACTATGGTTTTTCCAGTAGTCATCTGCGAATTCATGCATTTATTTATTTATGGGTTCTATGTTAAATAATACTGATGTCACATGACACCAAAATGAGGATGGAGAGCTAGTTGTGTCGCTTCATAGGTGACCACATTGATAGGTAGGTAGCCAGTTTATTACTTGGATAAGTCAGAGGAAAAGTTAAATTAAAATAATATCCTTTCCCAAATAAAAGACACAATCTTCAGAAGGAATGAAATATCCAGCTGCAAAACTTTCTTACTCTAATGCATTCCAAAAAAAGACGTATCTGTGTGCAATTCTCACAGCTCACTAGCATACCCTACTGATAACTACCTAGAATACAGATTTCCAAGAAGCAAGATGCAGTACAACTAAAATCATGGGCACAAATAACTTTATGTAAGGACTGAGAACAGAGGTAGTTTGATTAAAAATCTTTTAAAAAGCTCCCTTGCAGGGATGCATTCAGATGCCTCCTTTTGAAATAGATGTACCTCCTGCTGCACTGTTGGGAGAGGTAGACTAGGCAGACCAGAACCCAAGATTTTACAAGAGACCTCAGCCATCAAACTAATGTTCTCCCCAAGTAGATTCTCCCCTCTCTCCATTCACCCATCCCCAACAGATGAGTTAGGTAAGCAAAGTAAAACAAAGAGTCCGTGAGTGGCTCAAACTCATCCAGTTAGCTTTACAGCTGAACAGGAGAGCTGATGCTGGGTCTCTTCCCCACCTTAAGCAGGAAATGGCTAGGTACTGGACTCAGGCTCATATACTGGCACAAATAATTAAAAGGAGATTGCTAATAAATCTTCCTGTTTTTATCACAGGCCTGTCTTTGCTTGGCTCCTAATGATGGCATTTACATTTTCCATGCTTAAAGATCTCTAAGTTCTTAACTTATTTAAAGAAGTGGCCAATGTAATTGTTTGTGTTAAATGGCTCTAAGTATCTTTTTCACCTTTTTCACTTTGTGTTGGAATTTTTTTTTTTTTTAAATTCTCACTGGCTTGTGAGCATATTAAGGACAAAAAAGAACCTAACACATTTTTCATTATCACTTTTAACAGAAGAAAAAAGAAAGGCGAAAACAAAAATAATTACAGATGGATTTCTAGAAAAAATCCCAAGGAACCGGAGACATACTTAGATGGCTCCATTGCTGAGTTAACTATCCTTATTCTCTCTTGCCTAGGAGGGTTTGTATATTTGTTTTTATCATGTTTATTTTTTAATATTTCTTTTTATATTTTTATACTAACTGTTTATGTATGTGTTGTTTTTACTGGATTGTTGTAAGCCACCCAGAGTTGCTTTTCTGTGAGATGGGCGGCTATGCAAATTTGATAAATAAATAAATAAAAATAAAATACAACCAGAGAGCAAATTAATCCTGGAATTATAACGATTCTTGTTCAACAGAAAGTGCCATCGAAATATTTAAGATTGAGTTGAAAGTCTAATTATTTTTAAGATAGGCTTCAACTTCACACTGAACAATTTCTTTTTCTTTTTCTTCTCCTGCTTCATAAACGTGCCCTCTATTCCTTCTTATATACTTAGGATAGTGGTGTGCTATAAATGTATAATAGCTGGCTCTGCTGGCTCCATTGCCGCTGCCGCACTGTGCTGTGAGCCAGTAAACTGCTGATCAGCTCTGCTCTCAACCAGCTCGCAAAATTCCAGAAAATTTAACAATCGGCTCTTGCAAGCCAGTATGAACTGGTTCCAGCACACTACTGAATTATGGCTACATAAATAAACCATTCTAACAAAAGTATTTACAGCTAAAAGGCTCTTTTACTGTTATATATAAATGCAACTTTAATATTTACAAAATTGAAGGAGTAGAAAAAAAAACTTGATTTCATTCCATTTTTAATCCTGGATAGAAGTGTGCCTGAGCCCCAAGATTTGCTCTGATACCTGGATGAGAAAATGGCATCAGAGAATAGCATGCTGGATAAACCCATGCTTGGCTCAAAATTTATAAGTTATGAATTCATCATGATATGATTTGAAGCCAAATCAATCAAGATACTGTAGCTTCTATGGAAGTAGTTGGGTATATATGAACAACTTTATGTGTGTGTGTGTGTGTGTGTGTATGTGTGTGTGTGCAGTATTGTAATCGAAGACTTCATGTCTAATCTCCACATGCTTATTTGGAGCTCAGAGCATGGATAAAAAGAAGGAATCTGTGTGAAAGTTCTATTCCCAACTTGGGATGCACAAAAAGAGTTTGAGGACAAAGCTCAACAGGTATAATAATTTAAAGTCTTGTCTACTTGTTGATATCCCCAAATACATGGTAGAAGAGGAGCAGAAGGCTGAAAGGACTACACAGAAATGCTAAACACGCCAAGGTTGCATGTGTATTACCACCAAGCATTTCCTTTCTTGCTTCCTGGAACTTTTTTTTTAACATTGGTGATTTTATGGACATGTAAAAGTGTTGAACAGACTGCTTTGTTCAACAGCAGTGCTCTAAAATACAGTACCCTTTGCAAATAGTCTGGTAGATTTCCTGTACCTTCACTGCATCACCGCAGATTAATCTAGAGGCAGTTTCCATTCAATGTCAGGGCGCTCTTAATTAGCCTTATTCTTATTTCCCTTGACTAATATGCCATAAGCATATTATATTACAAAAGAATACCACCATTATAACTGAATAATCCAGCATTTAGGCTGAAATTCTATACACCTTGTTAAAACAAAATCTGATGAACTCAGGGAGTCTTATTCTGAGAATACATGTCTGGCATTGTCCTTTTCATGTATCATTGCCAGCATATGACCCATATAATAATTTAATTCACTGAAGGTACACATAGCTAAAAACAGGCAGAAATTTAGATATTAACACTTTCACATTTAATTTCATGCTGCAGTATCTAGAAATGAATATGTCAGAAGACAGATATATTCCTCGGTTAACGACCATTTGTTCAGTGACCGTTCGAAGTTAGGACAGTGCCTTCTTTTCTTCAACTCTATCAAAAGTAAAGCAAATAGAAAAAGAAAATCCACTATGGATTAAACTTTTAATAAATCTTTCAGTTTGGCTGACTGTTGTGCTCACTTCTGGATCAACCTGAATGACTTCACGTTGCTTTTATATACACAAGACTTCGACTCAGCATTTCCTGCAACAGGCCAAGAACATTCAATTTTCTGTATTGTAATCAAACTTTAATGTTAATTTTTAAAAAATGCTATCTCACCTACAGTATTGGTATTTATGATATTCTCCATGTATCTGACCATTGCTTCAACATCACTGTCCTGTTAACCAAAGAAGAAGAATGTCAGTTAGCTGTTTCAGCATAAACCCTGAATTTGGGAACAATGCCATTTATTACTGCATTATTACAAGTAAGTTACTAAAGTTCAGTAGTGCAAGTTAAGAAACAAATATTAACATAATCAGAAACAGCAGCTAAGGGCTGTTCTTAACTACTCTCAACTGAAGGACATGAGCACAAATACCTAACGTAGGCTGAAGCTGCAAGGTGGGAATCAGAGTTTCCCTAGCTAGACAGGTTATTATGTAAACATATCTCAGCCTCCCTAGACCATCAAAAGACCTCCCCTGTAGGGGCATCTTGTAGCAAGCCAAGATTTTGTCAAAATGACAAAATTTGCATTATGTGGCAAGCTTTGTCACTTACTTACTTGAGTGCAATGTCATGCAATATAAAGTACAAAAGGGGCAGAGTTTTGAATTCCCCCCACCGAGGTCACCCATGCTGCCAAGTATCTGTTAATTCAGAAAAGGAGGAGGAAGAAGCCTAGAACCTAAACCTCAGAACATAGGTATTTAAATTTCTGGTGTCTTTGCACTGGCAATAGGCAATCAACTGTTGTATCTGAGGCATTCTTACCTGCAATAAAGATTCTAATCTAGCAAAATTGTGTCTGGGAGACATTTCTTTCTGACATTCCCTTTTTTTCACCTTACTGTCTGACACTCTGTTTCCCATCTGTCCAGGGAACAGGATACTGGGAAAAAAGCTGGAGTCTGCATTTGAAATAAGGCCAAAGGCCAATTAACGTTAAGTCAGCCTATGATCCTATAACTGTAGGCTGCCCTGCCCTGCCCTGTCCTGCCCTGCTTTTAGTGGAAGAATGATTGATTGACTGATTGATTGATTATGTGCCATCAAGTCAGTATAGACTCTTAGTGACCGCATAGTCACATTTAAAACTAAATAAAAATAGATTTGTAACTGGTTTGAGTAGAAGAAATGGAAAAATTTGATTAACTTTTTTAGTGAAGAAGGGCCTCTATATAAAATTATTTAGCAAATAATTTGCAAAACTGTTGGATCCCAAGGGAAATAGGTAACTTGTTATCCTATAGAGGTTTGGCCAAATCAGCATGGTCAATGGCAAGGAATTGTAAAAACTACAATTCAAAATATCCAGAAGATACCATGTTGATCAGAGATTACTATATGCCCCCTCAAATGCCTCAGGAGTCTTTCCTCTGTCCACTTTTTTAATGGCTACATGAAAGTGCTGGGGGAAAGTAATGTGTCAGCACAAAGTTTGGTATCATCAATAGGCTAATAATACCCGATTATACATCTCAGCCCTAGGCCAAACTGGCAATGCAGTGAAGTGTCAGGATCTGCATGGGGAGAAGCAGTCTCAGATTGAAGAGAGTTGGCTTTGGGTCTGTGGGCCTAACAACTCCTGAGAAATACCATCTTTGACTCTGAATGGAGTTGAACTCCCATCTTCAGAGGTGATTTGCAATCTGACGGTCTTCTAGATGCCTAGCTCCTGCTCAATGAGAGGTGGCAGCTATGGCTAGGAGGACTTTTGCACAGTTACACCTTATGCACCAACTGTAGCCTTTGGGAGACCATGCTCACAGTCTTTAATGCTCTGGCCATCTTCCATTTGGATTACTATAATGGGTTCTATGTGGGGCTGCCTTAGGAGAGCATTTGGAAGCTGCAGCTACAGTATATCCAGGTGACCACGCTGCTTTGAGAGTTGCACTAATTGTTGGTTGGCTTTTAGGTATGATTCAAGGTGCTGGTTGTTATCTATAGCCCTGTATAGCTCCAGACCTAGTAATCTGAGGGATTACTTCTCCTCTATTCATCTGCCTGTCTGAGCAGATCAAATAGAGTCAACTCCTTCTAGGTCCCATCTTTATGAGACTGCCATTTGACAGGGCCTTGAAAGTATGCTTTTTTATACCTATCTGCACACTTTTGAACTCCCTCCCCATAGAGATTCAGTCAGCTCTGCCCTTCCTAAGCTTTAGGAAAGCCATTAAGACCTATCTGTTCTGTCTAGCACAGGAAATGGATATGTTATGACTGAAGGTCCGGTTCGGAAGCACATTACTTTTGTATTTCCTGGGTTTTTTTTTTCTTTTTTTGATGTTGTTATTCCTTATGTGTATTTGAAGTTATTCTTTTCTTTGTGATGCCATCTTATTTAATGACTGAGATTGTTAGCCACTCAGAGCCTTTGGAAATGGATAGCATTCAAAGGAAGTAAGTAAGTAAGTAAAGATCTACTGTCCAATCATTTGATCAGCACTGTTTTGTCTCCAACTCAGATTAGTTAAGATAATTTCTCTGCCCCAATATTTCTCCTGGTGTTTATCCACAATCCATTATTCTATCCAGCTCCTATCACTAATTCAGTTCAAAAAAGATCAATGCATTCTAATGTCTTGTTTATGGAAACTGGCTTGAACTCATTTAGCTTTCAATTTATTTTCACACTCAGAGGATGAATCAGAAGCTAGTTAACAGTTAATACATCATCAGTTTCAAGAAGATTAGAATCTTTTGGCTCATCTTATTTTCACCCAGTTCTGAATTTAAAGTGTGATTATGTAAAGAGCAATTTTTATCAATAATTGTAAAAGAAATTAGACCCCTTCATCATCAGTGCTGATGATTTTCAGTTAAGGTTGCTGCATTTTCAATTTAGAAAACTGTAAAACAGCTTATTTTATGGTGAAGAATAGAGATGAAAGAAAACAGGATTAAAAATGCAGAAGTAAGGGAAAAATGATGTTTTATTGATATGGTGCTAAATGTGAATGTACCCAAATATGCTCTCATCTAGCTCATACAGTTTTTTCCAATAATGACAACAATATTTATGTGTGGGCACTAGATGAAAAACAAAAAAGCTTCAGATAGCAGAATCAAATTCTAACACAGGTGTCAATAAAACAGCTTGCATTCCCTGGCAATTTCGAGGAAATATAAAGACATGACAAAACATCACAATGTCCAACTCTGATGGCTGATCCAATAAGCCTTCTGAAGTTCTGAAAAGTAAGTGGATTGTTCAATGTGCAATTAACTTAACTGTAAGATTATTTAATGTGTTTTACGGAATTCACAGGAAAACTTTGGATCCATTGGGGAAAAAACCCACAATGGTTGGATTCACACAGTACACTAAGCTCTAAATCCAGGTTAGCAAAATACAACTGCTGTCTTCACATAACAAATTAATCATACAATGGCATAACACGATGATCTTATTCAAACAGCATGCAAAGACATTGCTTCAGTTTCCACAACAAACTACCCTACCCCATTTTAGCCTAGTCCAGCATACTGTGTGAATCCTGACAATTATTACTAAGGAAAATGATGATTTTGTTTGTAGCATTCATCAGAGTGTTCAAGTGCTTGAATAACGCTGGATGTAGTTCTAACCCTGAGAACATCACACAAATTAATGTTTTGCTTCACTAAATTTGCGGAGCTAGGATGACAATTGCACTCAGATCTAGGTTCAGATTTCAGTTCTACTGTGGTTTATTTTGGTTTAGGTTTGGAAATGATCGAACTGCATTAAGAAAAAGAAGTATTTTGAAAAAAACCAGGAGAAAATATGGTCTAGATTTGTTGGGTTGGACTTGATGGCTTAAATGGCCCCTTCCAACTCTGTGCTTTTATCTATTGGCTGACAAGCTTAATTCTAAAAAATATATATATGAACTTTTCTATTTCAGAAAATTAACACAGCTTGCTTCCTCCAGGAGATATTTTAGGATAAAACAAAAATTATGTCCTCCTAACACTTGCAGATGCACGCACATCCTTTTTCTGAATACATCATCCAGGAATCAGGTGCAGATTAGGTTGTGCGTTAACACAACCTTGTCAGATTCCTGGTTTTTTACTAAAGAGACAAGCAGTGCTCAAACAATCCTGATGGGCTTCTTTTCAAAAAGGAGTAATTTTCACTTTGCGTAACTTCATTGTATAAGTGGTTCTTTTAATTCAGCGGTTATTTGAAGAGTGAATGTATACCTGTGAGTGAGTTTTACACACAGTCTGTGATGCATTCATTTCTTCCTCTTCCTCATCCTCTTCTTCACTTGTTTCTGAGCAGGATTCAAATGCATCATTATAATATTCTTCTGCAGTAAGAGGATCCTCTGGGATCTCTGCACAAAAACAGACCTAATCTGTGAATTACAGTAAACACTCTTTAATAGTTGGTTATAGCCAATTATAGCTTTAGTTAAAGCAATTCAGCTCCCAAAGTCAGGGCATCAATTTCTCTCATTACTCATTGTTCCCAATCTGCATAGAAAACTGTTCTTGAGGGTTGAATTTAGCATGAGAAGCACTAGAGGTAAAAGGAAATCAGCTATCTCAGTTTATGTGACTATAAATGCTTTATGCTGAATCCAGACCCAAATGTCTATCACAATTCTTAAAAAACTGACAAAGGAATTCAAGATATGCATGAGAAATGTATATTTACTTGGTAGAAATATAACCTTGACTTTAACATGAGTCCCTTCACAAAGGAAGATTAGGCAGAAAAAGTCAGTGGGAGACTAGGGGAAAACATGCCTGGGCAAATCTAAAAGGAACTTTCCATTTTGAAGATAAATTACTAGAGTCAAATAAACTTTGTCTTTTAAATACAATATAATATATTTATATTAAATATAAATATATTGAATATATTAAATATAAATATATTAAATATAATATAATGTATTGGAGAAGTTAAGCACAGCCGTTGGCAGAATGTTTTAAAGAACTTATGGCAAAATTTGTGTAGAATACTTTCAGGATCTTTTTTTTTTTTTTTGCATTTTTTAACCAAAGACAAAACCTTAAAGCCATTCCATGATGGATTCCATTAATGGACCAAATACCTTGTGATAGAATATCGAAGATCATGCATAAAGTGCAAAATTAACTATTTAATTTTACATAGGTCACTAGAAGAATTTTAAAAAATGCAGTCTGATTTGTATAGCATTGAAACTTTACTGATTGTTTGATTTTTGAGAAATAAAATTCTCTAGAGGCACAACGTTATGCTTGTGTATTCAGAAGTAGCTCCACTGTGTTCACTAGGGTTTATTCCCAGGAAGTCCAGGCAATTATTCTCATAATCTACCAGTGATCTACCAGTGTACCCAGATTTACCTTTAGCCCATCATTTAAAGCAATGTCATTGGCAAAATAGTTAATACAGGATATAGATTAAACATCATTTCAACACTTGATTATATGTAGATTATACTTGATTAAATTATAAATAGATTATATATAATCTACATAATTACCTATAATTACAACACTTCACAGCAAAATAATGTAATCCCTAATTGTGGAACTCTTTTGGTTGACATTCTCAATGAAACATTGACGAATGTTAAAATTAAAAATTAGCTTGAAAATAGACAATAATATATGCAATTATTGTAATGTAATTTGCTATTTTGGAATTATAATAAACTTGAGGGCTTGTCAGAAGTAACATACTGCAATATATTTATTAGTATAATGAATTATGAGTAGCATAATCAGTGAAGTATATAACAATAACAGAACAGGAAAGTGAGACTGTGAATTTAGGGGACTGGAGCTTGGTGACTGACAAAAGTAAGAAATAAAATTTCTTAAAACTTTGAAAAAAAAAAAAATTAAAACATTGACCTGGCAGAACTCTAAACAGAAAGGTATAAAAGGAAACAAGTATAACTATGAAGTGTTGAAATGATGGATGGAACGAAATGTATATTGCAATTGTATATATATTAAATTTGACCTGCTACAAATCATGTTACTAAATATAAATCTTATAGGATGCCATTATGACATAGTAGGTAGAAAGGCAAATAAAAATATTAATTATTGGAGCATAATATAGTTTTATACTAGAGTGCCTGTCTCTGAAAAGCATTTTTTTAAAAAAAGGAACTGGAGGATTCTTGAAACAGATATGGCTTCCATAAAATTAAGACATCATGATCTTTGCTTTCAATGCTATATTAAAAAAAAGAAAAGAAGACTATCTAATTCACTGTAGATTCTAAATCAAAGGTAGGTAAGTTACAAGTCTTGAGGGATTTCTTCATAGCTTAATAAAAATCTGTTGCAAGGGAGATATTTAGAAATAAAGAATTCTAAGCCCAGGAATGTATTAGAAGAAAATCCATCTTCATTTCACATAGAAATCTACCCAAAACTATTCCAGGCTTTCTTCATTTTACTAGCATTACTGGGGATGAGTGAGGGAGAGAACAATTCAATTACTGCCGTGGTGTTAAACTATTAGGAATCAGAAATGCTTGCTAATGTATTGGAAGCCACATAATGGATCTAGATCTATTTTCTGCCCATTTATGCTGTGAATCTAAGGGGACTAGACATCTTGGTTTTCTTACCTACCCCCTCCACAAACCAAGAAAACACCCCAGTTTCTAGAAGTCAGTCCCAGTCAGCTTGCAGCCACAGTGTAAGCAGTAAATGGCAAGCAGCATGGGAAACTTCCATGCATGAGTAATTAAATAGGGTTACCATATGTCAGTGTTGTCCAAACTTGGCCACTTTAAGATGAGTGGACTTCAACTTCCAGAATTC